AGCTCGTCCCCACCCTCCGCGCTTGGCTGCCGGGTCCAAGCGCCCAAGAGCACAGGAAGAGCCGTTTGCTCTCAGGCCCCACCAGGCTGCAGCACGAGAGCCTGGGAAGGCCCAGGCTGTCCCAACTGTCCTCGTCTGGTGCTCACAAATTGCCAAGTGCACAGGAAGAGGCCGTGCCCAGAGGAGAGGGCTCACGGGCTCGCCGGCCGGCTCCTCAGCCCAGCCAGTCCAGATCATCATCGTCATCATCACCAAAGAGCGGAGCTGGAGGGGGACGCCCCTTCATACTCTGGAAGTAAAACCAGAGGGAAACTTGTCAGTCTCAATGGCTTCCCAGTACTTGATAACTGCTACGCAGTTCTGGCTCCAAAATCTCCACTGGCTTTAGGGAAACGGTACTGCGAAGCCTCATTACTGATGGTTTTGTACTTTTCATACAACAGCTTAATACTCCAGGAGAGAGGCTTACAGGGCACAAGGGACAGGAGAGGGGCAAGACACTCCAGCCCTACAGTTAACCCGCAAGTCTCACTAACTGCGCGCCAGCAGGGGTTTGTCATCACCGTCTCAGGCCAGGCAACCCCTCCCAGCTCAGCAAGAAACAAACCTGGCGCTCTCGATCTGTACGGAGCACGTCTGGGCAGCTTGGAGCTCGGCTGGCAGGAGCCAGGCTGTCCCCCACGGCCATGGGAAGGATTTCAGACAAGCTACAGGTTAACGCCTTCACCAGTTTAGAAGCGGAAGGACACAAACACATACCACTTCCTCCTCATCCTCCTCTTCAGAGGGAACTCGAGGCTTCGCTGGTTTATGAGATGCTGTTTCAAAGAAGTTGTCATCCTCGAAGAGGCTAGAAGCAGAAAAAGAATTAACAGTTCGCTTGCAGAACAGGATCTTGGTTTTACAAGTTCTGTTAAAGAATGATGGAAAAGTTTTGAGGCCGAGGCAAACTCTGCAGGCACGTGTTCAAGAAAGATGAAGAGCTACTGGAGAGAGTCCAGCGGAGGGCTACGAGGATGATGAGGGGACTAGAACATCTCCCCTACGAGG